GTGCGTAAAAAATATTTGTCTTTTATCGATAAAAATAGCGTATTAGTTTCTTTTGGTTTTTGCTTCTAAGAAGGACAAAAAGAGATTTTTGGTATTCGAATTAGTGTTTAGTTTAGTTCATGATGTAAAGACGACATTTAAACCGCGACGAACAATTGCAAGCAGTAGGGATGGTTGAAGGGGGCCAAAATTATTGAGCAGTACCGGAGGTCCTTAACACATCAGCTAGTGTGATTTGTCGATTGATGACAAGATACCATGAGACCGGGGATGTTAGAGAACGACATACTGGTCGTACGAGAGCAACTGATCCTCTACATGATCGTTTTATTCGATTACAGGCACTACGAGATCGAACTGTCACAGCAGGTCAGTTAGCAAATCAGTTATACCGCACACACCATATTGCTGTGAGCAGCCAGACTGTGAGAAACAGGTTGCAGCAATTCAACCTTTATGCTCGCAGACCGCTCCGTGTTCCCCCGTTAACAAGAGGTAATCGCGCACAAAGACTACGATGGGCACAAGAACATCAACACTAGGGACATCAAGAATGGTCTACGGTACTTTTTACAGGCGAATCCCGATTCGGTTTTCATCCGTATTCACGTCGACTTCGTGTGTGGAGGCGACCTGGAAATCTGGAACGTCTTGCCGCAGCCCAGGAAGTCTACAGCTACCAGGGTGGTACAATAATGGTGTGGGGGGGTATGCGTGTCGGAGGAAGGGCTGACCTCGTTTTATTAGACGGCTTTTTGAATGCTACCAGTTATCGTGACAGTATTTTGGAATCTGTTGTGCTTCCATATGCTGCAGAATTTGGCCCGAATTTCCAGCTAATGCACGACAATGTCCGTCCGCACACAGTACGGCTCGTGCATGAATTTCTAGAAACTGAGCATATCAATGTTTTGCCATGGTCTGCGCAGTCACCAGACCTTAATCCCATTGAACATTTGTGGGATTCAATGGGACGGAGATTTCTTCGTCTGGCAAAGGCAGTTTGACACAAAGCAGCAGTTCTTTAATTGTCTTTCTGGCCTATGGAATACTACAAACCAAATGAAAATTAACAATCTCATTTTCAGTATGCCCAACAGATGCCGAGCTGTAATTAATGGACGGGGAGGTTACACTGCTTATTGATAGAGCACAAACAATCGAGAATTGTGTTTTTGAGAGATTTCTTCAGTGGCGGTTTGCCCGTAAGGGCATTTGGGCACGTGTATAATAAACAAAAAAAAAAAAAAATTACTTACATATTTTATATTTTCCTCAATCCTATTATTATTTTATCTAATATTCAGCGCAAACCGCGTTGACACGACACTGGACGTTGAGCGACGTTCCGAGAATTCCGAAAGAAGATGGGCACAGTAAATGTGTGCCTTTGTTCTTTTCTCTCTCATTATGATGCGAAAAACAGGGACAACGACAATATCGCTTAGCAAGAGATGAACACATGCGATGGATTATACGTCACAAGCGGGGCGATGTCCTAGACCAGATATGAATGTACGCAGAGGCATCTTTACCGGCTCCCTCACAAAGGCGATGCTGGTTTCGGCTGAAGGTGCGCGTTTGTTGGACCATGATAATAATTATTTATTGATATTACGAAAAAATGTTAGTTGGACCATTGGAATAGTTAAGAAAAAAAAAAACTACAAAGAAAAATAATTTTTTTTTATAAAGCAGTCAAAAATATTTATAAATGGGACAAAATTTTTATTTTTCTTTTGGTTTTGTTTGACTTTTTCGAGGATTTCAAATCTCTGTTTGCATATTTAAGAGTATAAAAAGTCTTATAAATAATTTAATGGTGTACATTTTCGCAAATTGTTGGCATGGATGACCATATTCTATTTTGCTCATCTCAAAAAGGCTTAGTTGACAAACTATCAAATAGAGATATAAATATTTTTTCTAATTTGAATATATAAAAGAGTAATTTTTCGCTGGGAGATTTTAAATTGCCAAACACCTTTTCTTCAGAGTCGTATGCTTTAAAATGCGTTAACAAGTTAGAATTGTTAAGTAAATTGCATTCTTCTGAAAAATTTACGCAAATTTCGCAAGAGTGGATATGTAATGATTTTTTGATTAAATAGCCACATAGTTAAATACATTTTGAATGGTCACATTTAACTCCCTGTAGTCACATTCAGAAATCGTTATTGCCCCAACTGATTGTTTTGAAATATATTTAATTTTCATTAAGCGGAGAACTTGTTTTCCTAAGGGAAAAACGACTCCCGGGATTCCTTTCCAGTGTGTGCCCCACTGCCGCTAGTGCCCACGAGCCGCCACTGGATGTCTTGCATATCAAGTTATTGAGATTTTTTTTTTTTTCTATAATTGTTGAAATAATTTTTGTTCTTGTAAAATTTTGTTTTTGTTGGTAGTGTTAAACGAACGTTAGTATCCTCAGTAGCCACACAAATTTTTAAGGTAATATATTATGGTGTCTCCAAAAAGTTATAACAATTTTTATTCTTGTTCCCTAGATTTTTTTGATGTGTGTATATTGTATCCTCCTTGACAAAGTAAAATAAATCTTAGTGCTTCCTGGAAAGAAAACGTTTTATGAAAATTGTCTTAATAATAATAATAATAATACTCTCCCTAATTCACCCCCTTACGAGTGAATTTCAACCCCTGAAGTCGACTGAACGACTTGTGTATGGGAAGGGACGGCTATAATTATTATTTGCCGTGGCGCTCCGGGGCGACTTAAGGATGATTGATGGTGCCATTTGACTTACAGGTGAGGAAAACCTCACCCACCATCATCGAGACGATAATGTATGGCGATTTTATAATCTGCATGTCATATCAATAGAAATTGAATTTCTATTAATACGGCACACATCAAATCCTAAACCGAACCATGCAATTTAATTAAAAATCCACATGGTCTGGTCTGGGATTCGAAGCCCAGCAGTCTCGGACTCATAAACTTGCCTATAAATGAATATAAGCGCGTTAGACCGCTACACCATCGACCCGATATCTTCTGAATATAAAAATGAAATGAATTATACTTATAGAATTATTATATTGTAAATATTTTATAATTCTTTATAGGGTACATTTTCTTCCTACTGATTGTAGTGAGAGACAGAGTCTAGAAGAGATTTATAATTATAATTTTCACATACTGGATCAGAAAATTGAAGTTGTTCCACCGACATTGTTCCAAGAGCTATAAAATAGGTTATTCAATTTAATTATATAATAAATAATATATACTACACCACTATAAGAAAAACAATTTATATATTTTTCCTAGTAGAGCGACCAATGTTGGGAGTTTGGAGAAAGAAAACACAAAAAAAGGACAATACGGAGCAAATACACTCATTTATTTCTTAATTTTCACCAGGTGTCGAGAAACATTTTTATTGTTGTATTAAGTTGACGAGTATTGGTCAGTTCCTTTCGTACAATTTCATTAAGAATGTTGTGCCTTCTTTTTATGCCATTCCACGATGCCTCTAAAAAAAACTTGTTTTCTTACGATTGTTTTCTCAGATGCTTATCGAGCAGCGTCAAACTGTGTGTGTGCCTTTTTGGTCGACATCACCCGTTGGGTCTGTTAAAAATCCGTTTTTTTACCGCATTATCCGCGGGATACTTTCAATCCGCATATTAAACGGAGGAACGAAATTCGGTTATGAATATGAATGCTAGAAGCATATTATTATATATAGATGTACCGCAAGGACCTATTATTGGATCCTGTACTATTTATTATTTACTTAGATGAATTACTTTCTATCTGTAATTCAAATGAGGGTATTTTGTATGCGGATGATACGACTTTTGTTATTAATGATAGATGTGTGGAATTTGCGAAGAAAAAAAAAAAGAGTCTGAGTTATATATACTGACCTATTCAGAGTTCTGAGCCGTTATATATCTAAGACACGAACCTCCTTTTGTAAAAAAATTTTGCTCAAAACTATTTTTTTTAAGTTCGCTCGCTGGGCTAGTGGCGCTGAATGATATAAACACAAACAGCGATGCCAGTTTGTTTTCAAATTCCGATATATCTTTTTTTTTTTTTTTTTGTTAAAATCGAAATAGGTACGGTTGGCACGATACTATTTTAAAAAATGCAAATATTATTTCGCAGACAACAACACATAATAAGGGAATTGATTTGAGAATACCATTTGTTTTTATGCATAATTTTTTAATGCAAACCATAAGTATTGTAAAGACCGACTTTGTTACTGTAATAGAATGTATTTTTTTTACATCCACATGGATATTAATTAGATTATCTACGTACATATTACAAAACGAAAAAATATGCTATTGCGTTCATCTGAACGAATATATTTTATATCCATTCTAGGTAGTGGGAACACAGCAAAAAAATAAAATTCCCCAATTATAGTTTATATTTTGGACACTCAACCACTATTATATTTAAAATTTTAAATAAGTGACAATCTTGTCAAACTAATTGTCAGTATATTTTTTAGTTATTAAGATTAAATATACATTTTTGTTTTTATTTGGGCCTCATTTTGAAAAATAAATTTTAATCACATATGAAACTAGTTTGTTTACTAAAATCATAAAAGTGGCGGTGGAGCTGAGGACAGAGCATCTGTCAATCTATAAAGGTATAGGCTGCTGATAGGTTCTCCTCTTCTGGAAGGCAGACCAACGGAGTGCACCATTACTTGTTTATTTGAAGTGGAAGACATTGTTGTATTGCTGAAAAGCTACCACCAGCCACGGTACATGGGGCCTCTTTCTACACTGCACTATGGGTATGAAAATAGAAACGTATGCAAGCAAATCCCTAATCCGTTTTAACCCACTAAATATTATTGTTATTTAAAATAGAGATTATAATGTAGCCAGTAGAAAATATAAAAAGGGACATTGCATAGAATATTGAAAATACAAACATAATACACTCTTCAATTATGTTTTCTGAATTTATCGACCAACCATATAACATTCATTTTGTTTTGTTTCAGTGGGCATCCCCCAGATAAAATGGTGCGGTTCGGAAGGTGACTACAACGTCATGGTGATGGAACTACTAGGTCCATCTCTGGAAGATCTCTTTAATTTTTGTTCGCGTCGTTTTTCGCTAAAGACGGTTCTGTTGTTGGCCGACCAATTGATCTCGCGCACGGATTTCATTCATTCGCGGAATTTCATCCACAGGGACATCAAACCGGACAATTTCCTCATGGGTCTGGGCAAAAAGGGCAATCTAGTGTACATAATCGATTTCGGGCTGGCGAAAAAGTATAGGGACGGACGGACCCATCAGCACATACCTTATAAGGAAAATAAAAATTTAACTGGTAAGTTTTTTCATTTTTACGTATTTATTTTAAGGTTTCATTCTTTAATAATTTTTTATTTATATAAGTCTATCTGATAATGTAATGAAATATAATCGATACATGCCTAAAACTAAATCTACAACTAAGTAATTGATAGAAATTCATTTACAGTATAAAAACATTTTTTTTATAAAAAATCTTCCAATTTAATTTTAAAATCTAGAATAGTTCTGTAGGATGTGATGTCAATTTATTAAAAAATAGGTTCTCTATAATCAGGAGAGTATTGCGAGTCTATCCATGTAAATAAAATCTTTAGCCACTTCAATATTTCCCTGATATTAATCTAAAAACATTGGCAATATACCTAATGATATATTTCTAAACTATAAAAATATTGTCTCTAGTGGATTATCTTCAAAAACAGATACCATACCTCAATCAACTACAGTATTTTTAGTTGAATTCAGCATGGCAATAATTTTTTTCCCTCTGGAAGACATGATTCAAAATCTCCTATACGTCTTTTTTATGCGGCTGCAAAATCTATCTGAACTAAAAACGAAGCGTATGTTAAAATAGATCTACAATCCTGTTTGAAATATATATAATGAAATAAAAATAATCTATACCTAATAAAACATGCATTTGTCAAAAAATATTAAATAAAACTTACCGTTTTTTACATAAAAATAATAAAAACAAAGCACGTGTAACCGTCTTGACATGCATCGTGTGACTGAGTATTGACGAAGTAAAGGATAGGAGATTTTACATGCCGCGACAGGTTGGGTTTCTAATGGGAGAATTTGAAATAACAGAGTTTAACGATTTTGCGATTTTTTGAGCTATAGGATAATTTTACTTAACATGCGCATGGCCTAGTAGAATGCAAAAACAGTAATAACTCATTTTCGGAACAAATTCCAGATAGGAGTTTTTGCCAGGTCGCCCGCGATATACAAATTTACGAGTTCGACTGTCGAAGTCATGTGCCTCGATAACCCACCTGGGGGTCAATTCTCGACTTGTAGGAACCTTTTCCTATAGGAATTTGTGACACTTTCCTACATGTAGACAAATGTCATAAATTTCCGATGTGTAGAAAAATGTCAAAAATTCCTATAGGAAAAAATTCCTACGAGTCGAGAATCGACCCCCTGGTAGACGCGCGGATGGCTCTAGTCCGTTACAGGTTAGATCCCAGATCGACGCATACATTTTTTCTCTTTTTTAATTCTGACACTTTTCCATTGTTCTTTAGTTTGTTTTTACTTTAGGGATATGGGGGTTTATGTTTCATAATTTCATAGGGGTAATTGGAGATTATATGTGAAGGGTCCAGACTAAGAAAGGGAAATGTCAAAATAAGTAAATTTTCAGTAGAGCGATTTTAAACTTTAAAACCTCATTATTTTTTATGCCGATAACGCCCACTGAATTTTTAAATATTATTGATAATAAAATGTTCAGATTTGAATTGTAGAACTTTTTAACAAAATGTCTGCCCATTTTTTGTATAAATGACTTTTAGCTAGACAAATGCATTACGTAACTTACAAGGAGGGGGAATGTCATAGTATTTTAAGAGAATTGTTTTAGTAGGATGATTGATTTTTAAATATTATATTGTCAAATATACACTTTTGTAATTGTGGCAATGGCCTTAGTTGTCGAGGCACGTTAAATTTAAATAAAAAATATATATACACTAAATATTGACAAAAAAAAAAAACAAATCCGCATGCAAATATTATTTTTCATGCTTTCTTTTTGTGCCTCTTGTAGCTTGTGCCTTTTGCTGAGTTTTTTAGCGTGAGGCAACGATGTCAAATATTCAGCTGTACTTGGGTTGAAGCAAAACTTCTTCAGGCACTGCAGGTCTTGATATTTATCATATTTTATAGGTAGCAACTCTGTTTAGGAAAAAACTAATATTACATTACATCAAATGCAGTAGTAAAATATACCTTCGTATAAATTGTCTGATATTTTCATGTTTTCAAAATTGATTCTTCGAGTGTTTCTTTTTGCCAAATTGAAAAAGATACACTAAAAAATTAATAACCAAATAAAGCTAGAAAGTTAGATGTTATTGATAAATTTAATATACATATAGGCGTAAGTATTATTAAAATATGGATTAAAAATATGCTTATCTAATAAAATTAATTCAATTCTACATACAGTTTTGACTAAAACTACTCTCTTAACTCATGTTTGAACAATCAATTGTATAATGGATGTAATAAATTATTGCTAATTAACTAGCGTTAATCTTAAACGCCACGCTTCTAATGATACTAATTACCAAGTCTCAGTTGTAATCGTTTATACCTATTTTATCATTGGATTATTTAAAAATAATAATTGAAAGTAAATAACTTAATACAAAAAGCTGTTAGCGTTCCCCGCGTGGGAATTTGAAAAAACTAAATTAAAGGTCAACAGAATTGTATTGAATATTAATACGTAATATAATTCCTTTATTAACAGGCTAGGACTAAAAGGTTTTGTCTTTGAAATTATTTTTAATCGACTTCAAAAAAGGAGAAGGTTCTCAATTCGTCGGTATACTTTTTATATTGAACAGTATTGCTATCTCGAAAACCGTAAGAGTTACAAAGTCGGTTAAATGGGAAAAAAAGTTGTACTTTTGCAAGACTAATTTAGTGATGTTTTAAACCGAGAACATCAGGACCGGATTCCAAGATATTTAAGGAAAACCAAATGACTCTATTTTCGATTGTATTGCCTTTATTTTACAAATTAGAAAAAAAAATCTAATTAGATTTTTTTATTTGGTATTAAGTAGCGCTTAATTTACCGTAGACATATTTTTTATACAACGGTTCGTTTCTGGAGGGCCACCATCAAGTATTTTTTGAATACGGACCTGTATTTTTTATTCCATTTTAGTTCATTAGTAGTTTAGGACGTTTGGATACTTTTTATTATTGCTATTGCAAGGTCACTATAAATTTTATTACTGAAGTCATTGATAGACGATCGCATACTAATTTATTGTTCTCCAAAGCATTTGACATACTTAAACACGGAATTATATATAAAAAAAAAATATATTTACATGGCTTCTCGCCATTTCTGATTAAATTAAGTTCTTCCTTGAGTCCACTTTTATTCAATATCTTCATCAATGATATGGTATACTCAATGATGAAGCTGTTTTTTCGTCTGTCTATAGAATGTATGGTTTTTTAGCTCGAAACTATGACTATATAAGGACTAAAATTGAAATGTTATCAGATATTAAACAGATCTGGATGACGTACATATTCTGAAACTTGAATCAGGCTCAGATGAAAGATATCAGCCCTCGTATAAATTGATGTAACATCAATAAATGGAAATCTAAACATTAAAAATTATAACTAAATTTTATCGATTTAATGTAAAGATTAGATATTATTTTGTATCCAATTGGATTTCAGATCCTTTTGAGATCAAATTTCTATACAAATTGTAATGTAATTCTGTTAACAATAACAGTCTAGACATTATCGAAGAAAACATTTCAATGTCCCTTCTTAAACTCTTAACTAACACCAACTGTTTTGCTTAATTAACCAATTTACGTAATGTGTAATAATTATATTTCTAGTTTTTCTGACATGTTTAGTTGTAGTTTAAAGCAATTAATAAAAGTTGCATAAACCAGGACAGATATCAAGTCAATTCATTAAATTGATTTTTATTTTTGGCATTACTTTCTTTTTTTTATTTTATTGTTAAATTATCTTGTAAGTAGAAAACTGTTGAACAATAAAGTTGTTACTTGTTTTCGAACTTCGGGCTCACTTCTTCAAATGTCAAAAGGGTTAGGCTGGGGCTCGATCATCAAACCATAAAAACCGTAAATGTAATCATGACCCGATTGTAAAGTACTTAGTCTATATTTATCAGAGATTGAGATGACATTAAGAGATATAAATAACACCACTTTTGTCATATTTGTATGAAATTTTGACATATTTTATTCTGAGTAATACATATAATAGTTATTTAAGCAACAAGTGTGTAAAGTTAATAAAAAAAGGACTTTATACACGAGTTCCTACAATATTTTTTCTACTACCGTACACATTAACCACTAATATTAGAAATATAAAAGTTACTTTTTTACTCTGTGGAGTGCGTAAAGTATGTACTTTACGCACGGAAGCAGAAAAAAAAATGTTTACATAGTCGCCAGTATTTAAAGCCTTAAATAGTTATATCCACATAAAGTATACAAAATACAACAAATATTAAAAATATTAGGTGACATATTTTATTCTTACAAAATAATCATTAATGTTATATGTGTCCAATAATATATATTTTTTCTACACCCACATCGATATTAGCTAATCTACGCACAGACTACAAATCTAAAAAGTATGTTATTTTCACCCATCACAGTTCATATTTTGGACACCCAACTACTATTCTAAAATTTTAAATAAATGACAATTCTGTCAAACTAATTGTCAGTATATTTTTTAGTTATTGAGATTAAAAATACATTAAAATTAGTTATTTTTTTGTAGAATCGATAAATAATAGCATTTTTATTTTTATTTGGTCCACATTTTGAAAAAAAAAATTTAATTTTAATCATACTATATGAAACTAATTTAATTACGAGTATTAAAACTAAAATCCGAAAAGAGGCGGTGGAGAAGAAGACAGAGCATCTATTTTCCACGCGAAAATCCCGGGGTCGAATCTGGGCTGGTGAACAATTAAATTAAATTTTTTTTTTTTTCATTTTTATCTTATAAATTTGTAAAATTCATAAATTATTTTAAAATTAGTTATGTTTTCTCAATAACCTAAAATAATTTTTTAAATTTGTAGATTTTCGCTAGTGGGTCGTAGACGAAATATACTATACAACTTTAGTGGTTTCTCCACTCGTGTTGCACAAACTACTATTTTCTACACCCACATGAATATTAGCTTATCTATGCACAGACTACAAAACGAAAAAGTATGCTATTGTGTTCAACCGAACGAATATATTTTATATTCATTCTGCCTAGTAAGGACACTGCAAAAAATGAAATCTACCTGTCACTGTTCATGTTTTGGTCACCTGGCAAATTTTTTTATTTTTTTTTAATTCTAAATAAATGACAATTCTGTCAAACTAATTATCATTATATTTTTTGGTCATTGAGACTAAATATACATTAAAATGAGTTATTTTTGTATAGAATCGATAAATAATAGCATTTTTATTTCGTTTGTGTATATTTACAAATAAACCATAAATAATCTTAATAAAAGTATAAGAAATCAATTTAATTACGAGTATTAAAATTAAAATGTTATGTGTGGCGATGGATCAGACTAGGGCATCTGGCTGAAATGCAGAGGCCCCAGGTTCAATTCTAGGATTAATAGGGGTGGGTGGCTCAGTGGTAGAGTCTCTGCCTGTGGATCCAAGGGTCCCAGGTTCGAATCCCACTGTTGGCCGGGTTTTTTTAATTTAATTTAAATTATTTAAAATTAATTCTGATGCCTTGGTAGGATTCCCCACTCGACCATTCACTGTTAAGTTCTAATTAACAGTGCTGTTCCTGAAGTGGCGCTGGGAAACAGTAGCCTACACAGAACACGAGGCTAATAACCTTAGCAGTTGATGCCGATGACACAAAAAAAATACCCTAAAATAATTTTTTAAATTTCCATTAGTGGGTCGTAAAAAAAAAGTACTAAGTTTCCCGTCTGTAAATACCTGTTCCAAGCATCTCGAACTGTAGACCGCGGAATTACCAGAGCAGGCGACATAACTTTTAATACGTCATCCTCTATGACAGCAACAATTGTACCCATGTCTGCTGGGGTGCGTTCAGAAATGAAGAGCGTCAAATTTTCAATCGTCCGGACAAAATTCGTCGGAACGTTTATTTTTTCCCGATCAATACGAACGGTAATTGCAAAGTATTGTCAAATAAAGTTTTTGGTTATGTCTTTTCTGTTATCTGATATTGTAGGAATTATCAAAAATTAGTAAATAGGTAACATCATTGACGTCCACATAGACTTTTTTATGTAAAAATTCAATTCATTACCTGTGTCATAAAATTTTATCATTTTGTATAATAAAATTACCATCGTTTCCGACAACTAGACGATAATTGATGGAATTAATTCTCTCACTCATACTCATATTTAAATATGTTTTACTCAAAAAGTAAAAATAGGAAATAAAATACTAGGTGGTTCTCTTAGGTTAATTAGGGCTATGACATACTGCGCAAGTCGAGTAAAAATTACCCTACTCAACACGATGGGTAAAATTTCTTCATCCCGACGCGTTTTTCTTTTAAATAGGAACGGCTGGGGAATTCGTCCAGATAAAACGTTCCATATTTAGGAACGCTTTTTAGAATTTAGACAACGTCCGGACGCATTTACCCTACATTTCTGAACGCACCCCTGTAGTTAATACCAGTATAATAACACAACAAATTCTAATGCGGAACTGTCAATGTCAAACATTTTGTCACAATAATCGCGTACTTAACCAACTTCGATAATTTTTAACCAATAGCTTGACATGAATTTTCACAAATTTATTAAAATATACAGTGTTTTATTAAAAAAAAATTGTAGCTCGCAGAAGATTTGAGATAATCGCATGAATAAAAAAAAAACAAAATGTTTGAAATACATCTGAGATTATAGGAAACAGTATGTAAACAAAATTATCGGCCTCACTTTTAGTACAAGGTGTTTTGAGGTTGCGACAAAAAACAACATTTTGATTTACCCCTGTATAAGATTGCCTAAACGAAAAACGTTACTTATTACAAAAATTTGCAAAAAAAATCACAATAGATGTATCTACAAACTGGTAGAAAATTCATAAAAATAGAATAAAACATAAAAAAGTTATATAACATCAAACTTGGTCAAAATTTTATGGTGGCGGAATTTTCTGCTGGAGATCCACTATATCTGGTGAATGATTTGCAAAATAGTTATTTAACGTTTCTATATCGATTTCAAATTCTATTTGATTTTTTATTACGTCCTGTTTTCATTATTTATTAATTGCCAAACAGTTATAGATTTATTATCTGAATTATGAATTTTTGGAGGAAGTTTTGCATTTTTTAGCAATACATTATATTTAGTTTCCTCTTGTTAACATTAGTGTTTTATTGTAATCTATTGGTTTGTTTTTAATAACATCTTGTAAAAATAACACTAATTCTTTTTGTTTCGTCTGCATTCAGATAACTCCAGTTTTTATTACATTTTCTTTTTTGTTGAGAAATGTTTAGAATTTACATTAAAATGTTTTAGAAATGTATCACGAAGTGCTTCAACTTTTTCATTTTGCAGATACATTACTAAAATTTAAGTGGATAAGATTAATATACTCGTTGATATGAAGAAATCTTCAGGAATGACATATCACCGATAATTTTTTCATGGAATTGTATCATATTTATTTTTAAATAATATAAATATGTTTGTAATGGGTTGAACATTTTATTTGAATTGGCTTTATTTAAAAAAATCACATTTTTTTATCTGATTAAAATTTACTTCTAGTATACAGCTATAAAAACGTTATTTTGAAATAAGCTCTGCCTTGTGGTTCCATTTAATTAGTACGATAAACTTGTATGACATATCCATCCCCTTCCCACTTCCCTCTTACCTATTAACCAAATTTTGATTATTTTTATTATTAATGTACATAAATAAGGTAAAAAATGGTATATTTTATTTCAGGTACGGCGAGGTACGCAAGTATAAATACGCATTTAGGCATCGAACAATCTAGGAGAGATGATCTGGAATCGTTAGGTTATGTTTTAATGTACTTTAATAGGGGCTCGTTACCTTGGCAGGGTTTAAAGGCCGCTAATAAAAGACAGAAATACGAACGTATTTCGGAAAAGAAAATGTCCACTCCAATAGAAGAGCTCTGTAAGGTAAGGCTGTTTATTACTTTTTGAACAAAATGAAATATTCAAAATCATATACCACATAATGTAAAATATAAATGAAGTGTATATAACTGTTCAAAGATGTTGGGAGTTCTTCAAAAATACGTTGAAAAAAATTATCAAAGGTCTAGTTGACCAGTGAATAGTTTAAAAATTGTACGCGTTGAATAATTTGCTATTCGGCTGTTCAACTAGATCTCAGACAGTCTTCATCAAATTTTAAAAAACCCAAACAGACCTTTAAATCTTAATAAATGCCAGACAAAATTGTTTATTAATTAAAAAATTATATTGTCATGTAAATTCTTATGATTTTGAATGTTTCTTTTCGTTACTACTTTGACTACTTTATTACTTTTTTCTTAGAAATACCATTACTACAAAGCCCATACATGGAAAAACTAATAATAAAAATTTTCTTTCTTAATAAGAATATAATTCTAATAACTAGATATGATTTAGTATTTGATTATTTGTTGTCGGGTTCTAATTTATAATGGTCATCAACTCTAACACAGAAAGAGACCTTTGTTAACCACAACTGAGACATCAAAAAATCTGATTTCTTAAACTTTTGTTACAATCTCAAAATATTTTGTTTCAGGGCTACCCTATAGAATTTCCTACTTACCTAAATTATTGTCGACAATTGAGGTTCGAAGAAAGGCCGGACTACAGTTATTTAAGACAATTATTTAGGACTTTATTTCATAGACAAGGATTCACATATGATTATGTGTTTGATTGGAATATGCTCAAATTCGGTGCGTAATTAATAAATTCCAAAATCTAGTACCTGGATAATTTTTGTTAATAAATTATAGGTGGTTCGAGAGGTAGCCATTGCGAAGAAAACGGCGGCAGATCGAGCGCTAGATATGGAAGCCATGCCGCCGCAATTCCTGCCGATTCATCGCCCGCCGCTCCTCAGTCCAGGACGCGAAGGCCGCACGATGCTCGCATGGAAATGGTGTCTTCGGGCGGTAACGCTCCTACCCAAAATGTCCTAGATGAAGTCATCACTAGTAGTAAGTACTTGAAAACTATAGAAAACCACGTTATTGAAACGTGTTCGACTACAGTTTAATTAAAAAAGCGGCAATGTATAGACAGGCATAAAAGAAAAATGTTCACCATAAAGATCACTCTTCTCTTTTCTTCATATTTTTGTCATCTTTTATCATGTTATTTATTGATAATTTTATTTGATGCTTTTTTAATAATGCTCTTTGATAATTTTCCTTGGTAATGTTCTTTAGTAATCTTTTTCATTGATAAAATTAGAAATGTTCTTTGACAATGTTCTTTAATAATGGTCTTTGGTATTGTTCTTTGATAATGTTCTTCGATGATGATCTCTGACAATGTTCTTTAATAAATGGTCTTTGGTATTGTTCTTTGATAATGCTTTTCAATGATGCTCTCTGACAATGTTCTTTAATAAATGGTCTTTAGTATTGTTCTTTGATAATGTAGATACATTTCTGATAAATGTATTTGATAATGTTCCTTAATGATCTAATTATTTAATAATATTCTTTGACAAACTTCTTCGATGTTTTTTTATCTCACATTACAATAATTAGAATTTTATTTAGTTACTATTACTATTGCCTAAGATGAAAAACAAGTGATAATGTCATTGACATCATCATTACTACTACGACATTTTTCTTTTCTTTACCAATGTGATACAGTTACATTTTGTTTTGTTTTTCATAATAACTACTAAACTACGTGTTTTTCTTAACATCTATCATCCTTCTGTAAAATCTATAACTTTCAGTTCCAGTTTTAGTGGAAAGTTAAGAATAATCCCACCTCACTTCACCTCTGACTGTTATATTATTTTTTGAAGGTCGTTAATTATTTGTCATAGATAATGTACATTTTAACTTCGCAATATACATTCTCAGTCTTACAATATTTTTATTTACCATTGAATCATCAACAAAACATTTTAAAATCCCACATTCAGCAACCCCAAAAACATATAAACCATTGAAAAAAGTGGTTGCAGATAAATGAGGTACAACAAATGTTGGATATCTACAGCTTGTAATATGAAAACTTAATTTTTTTTATGAATTTTTTAATTTTAGACTCGCCTAGAATGTATGATAGTCATGAAAGAAGAGTTTCTATGAGACTTCGAGCCAGTCAAGGAGCCCCGAACGCTTCCACGTCAGACTTAAGCACCTCTAAACAAGCCAAGTGAGTTGCTAATCTATAATTTTGTGTTTTATTAATGTATATAATAATTTTTGTATTATATATGTATATTTGTATTAAAATATTTCATTAGCACATCCAGCTTTTTAAAATTATTGGTTAATTGATTTGAGGTATATTTAAAACTTGCTTTTTTTTCGTTGTTTTGCATTTTTGCTTAAGCCTTGGTTTCTTTGAACACTTCGTCGCGGTGAGCGGGCAGTCCGTCAACCGTCGTGTTTTGACGATTTTATCCAACCAGAGTATTTAAATGGGAATGGTTTTCTTGAATCCGCTTAGTTGAACAGGACGGCGTCATGCCGCTGATTTGTCGCGAAGAGTCGGTTGATATCTGTTGAGTTTGATATCAGCGGAATCGTCGGCGTGTGCGGAAACTATATTGTTATTAATTTTAAAACAATGAGTGACAAATTCACATACAGATGACATCATGACTTTATTTTTAGAAAGTCTAAAATACTCCCTAAATTTGATTTCATTTCCAAAAAGCCTCCACTGCACAGTGATATTAAAGGCACCTTCCGTATCGCGACAAAAAAACAACTCATTCACTGGCTTATTGGAAACTTTGACGGTTGCAATTGCCAGTTCCTCTTGTTCTTTCTCTTCCAACAATAATAACAAGGAAAACAATTTATTTGCAACCATTTTAGTACCTTTCGTTTACATTCATAATACATAAACAGCACGTACAGACATAGAGAAAGTATCATTTTCTATATTTTTTAACAAACCATCTCGAGCGAAAATTGCTGTCCTCAGCGGTCGACGGACTGTCCGCTCACCGCGACGGAGTGTTCAAAGAAACCAAGTTTTAAAACTAATGAACTAAAACAAATAATGAAATAATAGTGCAAGTTTTAGTCTGTTTTTGTTCTATGTTGTGTGTGATTGGGTTCTCATTTCATTAATAATTTTCAGAATCTAATGAATGGGAAAATTTTCATTAAATCGTTTATTGACAATGTCTTTTTTTATAATTTGATTCAGAATTTCTATGTTCGTTTTCAACTATATCCGATAAATCTTCAACGTCTCAAAGATATTTTTTTTTTTTTTTTGAAATGCTTTTTCAACTCCACATAACCGAAAATATTTAACACCTTAATATCCTAGTCCTTATTTATATCCTTGGTTTTCTCTTACATATGATTTCTCAGTGTCGGCTTCTGCCCTTATGTATCTGGGAGCGCGCAATTTGGCAGCTTTGGGAAACTAAAAATTAAAAACGATTAGTGAATCAGATGTGATCTTTTTTCAGAGATTGGGATGGAAGTATTTGGCAGGGAGAGTGACGATATCTTTATTGTTTCACATGGTTTGAGATGGAATAAGAGTACTTTGTAGGCAGTGGCGGCTTGTGGGGGGTTCACAGTGACAGAATATAGGTATCAGTGCAGATGTATGGAAAAAACTTTCAGTGTTTTAGAAAGTTTATAATATACCTTTCTAAAACACTGACAGTTTTTTACCTATATCTGTACCGGGATCTATATTCTGTTACTGTGAACCCCCAAAATTTTGGTCACGAGCCGCATCTGTTTGTAGGGAAGGAGGTGACTTAAAGATCTTGGCACTGTGGCCACCACTGAACTTTCCTAATTGTATTAAAAACTGCTTTTACTATTTCTAAACCTTTTTTAATATACTATGAGCGATCCCAGTTTCACCCAAGGTAGACTGTTAGAAAATTATTTTCACATTTACACTTTTTTCTTGATATCCTTCTTCGTTACAAAAATAGATTTTCTAGACTCTAGACTATCATTCTTGATTTCTATTAAATTTTTCATATCATGTACCATCATTAAGTCGTTTTCGGCCTCCCTCATCGTCTTTTAAAAATTTTAAGCTATCTTCTTTCTTAGATACATTAGATTGATATTGTTCGAAGGTTTCAACATATGAAATAAATAATTTAACTGAAAATTTGTTATTATATTACAATTTATATGAGAATATTACATATTTTAGAACAAAAACAATGCAGCTTTGACAAAAAAAGTTTGTGAAAAACAAACAAAAATGGAAGCGAAATATGTTTTCCAAAAGTTATCATGTGCTTTTAAAATTCGCTGCTTGTACACGGAACAGTCAGAAAATAACCGTAAAACTGTTATACCTTAAATCGACTAATGTGTACTGTCATCTAGTAGACGTTGCACTAAAATTGACTTGCGTGGAGTAGTCTGAATTTATGTCTTTAAAATGATTTAAAACAGAAGAAATAAATTATAAATAAATAAATAAATCATGTCAGTATAATTTAATATATTTAATATATTTTATAAATTGATGTTTGCCGAATTTAGTAAAATTATACTGAGTAATTAAAAGAAATTACCGTTATTATTAATTTTTTAATTTTTTTTATATAACCATGTTTCGTTTAATCGTCTTATTTTTAATAAAATATTTTCCAGATGTTCTATATCCCATTTTTGTTGATTCTCGATGCAATATTGAGTACATCGTTGTTTTCAGATAGCACTCAAATTTTTTATAACCGGTTTAGTTTATCTTTTTATTTTCTTCTTTTTTAAACTATACTGGGGTCTATTCTGTAACGAATTCTTTATATCAAGTGTCCCAAATTGTTTTACCCAAGTCATAACTTCTAAACCATACAAGATAATCGAACTGGAAAAAAAAAACATCCAGTATAATTGGCGATGGAATTTGAAACGAATGAAGATTTGATGGCCTACTTCCCAAAAACCATCCCCTCAAAAATTTTTAATGACACCCTAATTTTTTGGCTTATTTTTACATTCTCCAATTATCCAGTGGCCGGCTAGGTCACCTGATTTGTCGCCTTTTAGATTTTTTATGGGGTACTATAAAGGGCATAGTATATGAAACAAAACCAGAGGGACTTAGAAGATTTACAAAATAGAATCAGAAATGTTTGTAAGATGATTTGAGCTTCATGTACAAGAAATTTACTGTTAAAGTTTAATAAGTGTTTAAATTCGTTTCTTGTCTCTCCTTCTCTTGTTTCAATGTCTGTTTTTTATTATCTATCACCTAAAAAAGACTATTGTATTTTTTATTTCATATCTCGCTTATTTGAGAAGCGATTTAAAAATTTTAAAAACTGTTGTGCATAAAATAGTAACGACTACAAAATTGAGCAAAACAAAATAAGGTGTCATTAATAATTTTTGAGCGGTTGGTTTTTGTGGGTGAGTCGTTAAATCTTCATTCGTTTCAAAGTCCACCTTCAATTATGCTGGGTGGTGTTTGCCTGGTTCGATTATCTTGTATGGTTTATAAGTTATAGCCCGTGTAAAACAATTTGAGACACCATGTATATTAACAGCCGATAAAATATTAACGACCTTTAAAAATATTTACTTAATCAGAATGTAAAATGTAAATTGATTTAAAAAATTATTGGAAAATGAAGAAAGGTATGGAGTATATAACATTTTTAATGTGATTGCCTACATTTAATATCCAGAGCAGAATTTAGATTACTTCAAACGTCAATTAGGGCCTAAGCCACCCGTTCTAATTGCCAAATGTATGTGTATATTTCAAAACATTTTTCGATTCAGTAAAGATGTAGCCATAATTATATTTTTGGTGTTGGTTTTAGTATTAAAATAAAAAGACAAACCCTAATCAAAATTGAAAATTGTTTGGTTATTGAATAATGTTATTTCGTCCACCCTTCTTGTTTTCCTTTAATGAACTATTATGCGTACCTTTGGTCAAAATTAGTTCAAATTAATCTTAAGCTGATGTTGTAAAGAAGGACTGTTTTAAAATTGATAATTTTTAACAATTCTCTAAAATTTGTGTATACAGATTTTTTTTTATTAACGGGCGGCTAAAATTTACATTTTTAAATTTTAAAGGATGTTATCTGCCCAAGTTTTCTTTAGTAAGAATTTCAGGCTAATTATTTTATTTAATTTTTTCGCGCATGCTCATAACACTTTTCACTTTTGAAAATTATAGTTATAGAAATGTTTACGGACATTTCCGAGCGACCCATCATTAATGTAAATACTTGTAACATTATTTATGAGGGAAATATTTGGATCTTACTATGAATAAATTTGTATTTTTTTTTAATTATATCTGTTGATTTCCGCGCTTATGTTTTTTCGGTTATTTACTGACTTTTCGCGATATTCAGTGTGTACAAAAAGTAACGCCTCTTGTTAATATTTCTCTGATAGGTTTACAAAAAAAGTTATCAGTATGAGTCAATTAGTGAGTCCCCAAAGCTGTTGTATTGAGATTTTAAATACTTAAAATAAATACTTAAGTATAAAAAGATACTTCAAGTATTTGACTTAAGTACTAATGCAAACGTTGGTACTTGTACTTACAATTTTAAGTTTTTCAATTTTACTTGTACTTATTACTTAAAATATCATTCAAGAACATTTTACTTAAAAGCTTTCGAAAATTTATACTTAAGTTTTTTTAAAATACTTAAGTACCAGTAAAATTACTTGAAGTAAATATTTTTAGTTAAAGTTTTTTTAAAAAACTTTAGTACAATTTACTTGAAAAACAAAATAAATCCAATAATAATATCCAGTATTCAGTTATTAAGATGCCAGTCTTTTCATGTTAATGTGTATGTAGATCGTGAAAATAGGTGCCAGTATGTCATTTTTTACTTATACTTTGTAAGTTTGTACTGGTACTTGATTCTTATTAAAAAAACTTGTACTTAATACTTAAATACTTTTCCTTAGTACTTACAACAGCTGTCATGTCGTATATAATGTTTCCGCAGGCGAAAGAAATGGTGAATAATCACTTTACCGTAGGAAAATTTCAAATTTTCCTACATCATCCAATAGAAAAATCTTGAAAACTCATTTATTTTAAATTTTTTCATAAATTTCTGAAAAAAAAAAAATTAAAGGTTTCGCGGTTTTTTAAATTGTTCCCCATACCCAGTCTTGGGTTTTGAGGTTTTTTGCTCTATCGCCTCTTAAGCAAAGTTTTTTTCCTGCAAAAATTGTCTTGCCACATCGGGAAAATGTCGATGGCAGATCGTCAAGAATGTCGAGTAGTATACCCGAATTTTTAGTTTTTCCGGAAAATTAGGGAAACAAAAATTTTCCGGAAACTGATAAATAAAAAAAAACTGCCATGTCGGAAAATAGAGGACTTCTATACAAGGGAAGTGCAACCGACTTGACAAATTTTTTTTGATACTAATGACATAAGAAATCGGGTAACATAAAGAAGCTGTTTTTTTGTTAAATTTTTGGTTTTTCTTATCTACTTGTATGTCATTTAGATACCATGTTGTACCCGTAACGTAAAAAATACTTTATTTTAGGATATTTTACATTTAAAGGTTAAAAACATTTGTTAATATCAGCTGTGGATAATGTCAAAACATAAGCGTAGCATTGCATTTTATTTTTTGTTATTAATAGTCTATTTTTTCATTTGGTTTTATTTATTTATGTCAATTGCAAAATGCTGCTACTACGAATACAAGTTCTATACAATATACAACCAACATACAATACTAGTTACGTTATGCCCATCTATGGTTACGCCTGTGTTCTACAAACAACATAATTGACAGCTGACAATGACAAAATTTTTCAACCTTTAAATGTAAAATACCCTAAACTAAAAAGTCTTTTTCACGCTACGGGTATAACAAGGTATGCAAATGGCATGAAAGTAAATAGGAAAAACCAAAAAGCAAACTAAAAAACAGCCTCTTTATGTGACCCGATTTCTTATGTCATTAGTGTAAATTTTATTTTGTCAAGTTGGTTACACTTCCCTTGAATAGAAGTCCTCTATTGGTGGAAACACACTTTCTCAAAGGAAAATGAAAAATTTTCGGAGATGATTGGACATAGAAAATTTCAATCTTTCAGAAGGGACAAAATTCGATGGCCCATCAAACTTCGTAACAGAGAGACAACACGTACCTTTCTTTTTAATTATAAATATACCGGGTGTACCATTACTCTAAAATAACGCAAGATTGTATATTTTTTATATTACACCCTGTATATTTTTTCAGTTTTTCGTAAAAATTTAAAGTACCACCGTGAAAACCGCAGTATATATAGTTGAGTACTATTTAAAAATATATATTCCTGTGTCATTTTGGAATAATGGTGCACCCGGTATATTTCTAATTGACCTATACTGATTATATCAATCACAATGTAATAATTTCCTACACTTTTAGTTGATTTATTTTCGATAATCATACACCGTACTTAACTAATAGCTGATAATCATGCTAGATATATTAATGCTGTAAAAATCTAGTAAGCAAGCTTGTCATGTTTTGTTGCTTTTGTACTGTAACTGTAAATTTATTGAGCTGTCCTATTTTATTAATTTAAAATATAATCTTTCGAATACAACTTTTGATATCGGGACTATAGATAATCGCATAAATTAATGAAGTCAAATTAATTTTTGACAATACTTTTCCTGTGTTAGATTATGTAATATCGATAGTCCCGATACCACTCGTATTATACAGCATGTCTGAAAAATAAAAAAAAAAATGAGAAATTGATTTAATATTAAATTTTCGAAAAAAACAAAGTAAGTTTATTATAAATTAATTATTAGATGGCCATGAATCTAAACTAGGACATAATTTTTAATTCCTATCAACATTTTCAAACGACATTTTTGTTCTGTAATTAAATTTAAAATCATAAATGAATATTTATTATTTTCTCTGTATTACTACTAAATATTTTACAAAGTTGATTATTGATTTCTATGTAATGCAGAACTTTTTATGAAGAGAATCAATTTCTTTTTGAAAAATTAATATATTTCGCATTTATTGCCAACTTTCTCGGACATTCTGTATATAATAACTTATTTCACAATACTTTTATTGAAAATATTGTTTGGAAACCTATAGGAAATCGAAATATTAGCAAGTTATGTTACTTTTTGTACACGCTGTATAAATATTTATTGATTCTGTTCTGTTGTAACAATCTAACATTTTGTCTTTGTTTTATTTTATTTTCTTTTCGAACTCACCACTCACCATCACCGCTTTCATCACGTCACCACATAAATAAAAAAATCAAAAAACTAATCCACCACCAAACTCAAAAATCAAAAAAACACAACCACCACCCGATAAACCGAATGACATGTGGCAACCTATGTGTGATTTTTATTTATTCTGGAAGCGCCTCCGGAGTGGCAATGGTACCTCCAAGCGGACAGACGGGGGCCCAGGGCCCGCTACCTAGGCGGGGCAGCGCTTCCAAAGACGCACCGGCAGCGCCCCGGCTCAAAAAGTGAGATAATGGACCGAAATAAATATTTTTTTAATAGTGACATATTTTAATTTTTCCTAGATAGAATTTTTTTTTATATTGGAGTCGGCTAAAAGGGAGGTATCAGTTTGATGAAGGATTAAAGAATGCCGAGTCGCATTTAAAATACGGTTATAACAAATTGGTGTATTTTTATTTATTTGAGATTTCCTTTCGTCGACCAATATTTTTCTTGAAGGGAATTCAAGAAAGTGTAAAAAAAATATATATTTTCACGCGAGCTTTTTACAGGGTTCGACAAACTTCCAGCGGAGTCTTGAGAATTTGGTTTAATGGCTTTTAACACTTAAAGGGCAGCGACGTAAATGTATTTGTCTCGTTATATATATGACACTTTATAAATTCAATCGTATATCCTAAGATTTAAGTACGTAAAAATTGTCGACGTGTCAGAGAAATGACCGTCACATGGCAGTTGAAAGTGTTAAAATGGAGTATGTGAAAATGTTTACAGGGTAATACAATAATAAATTTATTAAAGAATAGAAAACAATTTTTTAAAAATTTTGATATGTTCAAAATTTTACTTCAAACAGAAGGACACTGAATATTAATTCAGAAATCCAAAATTGTAAAAACTGTGTCTCTTAATAATAAATTTCATATATACAGCATTTCACAGGGGTACTATTGGAATCTCAGAACCATATCTAAAATATTTCAAATAAATAAAAACTTGCATTTTTCTTTTTTTTTTGCTCTATTTTTTTCAGTTTTAAGAATATCAAATTATAAAGAAATTGTTTGTATTATTAATGGTTTTAACAATTATTATCTTTTAAAAACCATAATAAAGCATAATTTTAATTGAACTTGATGATGGCCAAACAAATATAAATCGTTTTGAATAATTTTTTTATTATATTAGGTATATATAAAAAAACTATCCAGTTCTGCATTTAAAAAGTGTAGTGCTCTTGGATTCTATAGTGCCACCCATTCTGTCTGAATGGGAATGGAGGTTTTATCCTCCTCTTCGCAGAATCTGAACTCAGTATATTTGTTTTTTAAAGTGTTCTTTGAGTTAACAATATCTGGTAAAGATCCCCATTCAAAAAGTGTATTTGTATTTCATATAATTCCTAAATTCATACAAAAACCAAAATTTTCCAATAATAAGTTTTTGTTCGTTTAAGAAAGCTATAGGTTATGGGTTAGCATTTTATAGTTTTATAGGTTATATAATTAAATGAAGCTTCGTAGCTTCTTACAGAATGCAGAACGTGTATTTTATTACCCAAATCCACACCCAATCCAATATCTGATAAATTGTGGGTTGGTATCTTTCTGCATAACGCTGTCCAATTATCCATATACCAAGGAAAATATCTTCAGTAAATAATTTTTGTAAAAAAAAAATAATTAGTTTTTTTTTGGTTCACCCTATACATGTAATTTTTCACTTATTTCCGTTTAAAGGTCATTGATGAATATTTGAATGAAATAATTTATCGAATATAGGACAACAACATAGGTTTGCTGGACTCTGTATACCTATTATCCCATTTAATTATAAATAAATGGAGAAAAACAGCAATTTTGCTCTCAATCGAAAAATATTTAAAAAAAAAACTGACATTTTTGAAATAAAATTACTTTGTTTTTGCAAAAAAATCTTTAATTTTTTTTAGTTGATAATATGGCAACTAAAAATGTTTTGAAAAAATTCTGGGAAATATTTCAGCGTAAGTAAAAAAAGTTCCTATATGTCACTTAATTATTATCTCTTAATTGTTAAGAACATCAGGTATATTTTTTGGCGATAAATTTAAACTAATAAGATATCATTCATTGTTTGGTTTTAATTGGTCTAATTCTTTAAGTGGCTATAGGAAACAGTAATAATACCTACATAGAGCATTAAAGAACAAGAAGTGAATTATAGATAACTTTAAGGGCTTTCCGAAAATTATCAATTGAAAGTTGTTGCATTTGATGAGTTACAATTAAAATTTTGCTTTTTTCTTCTGTTATGTAAATAAAAATTATGTAAAATATCTATATTGTATATAAATTAGTAGGATTTGTGTAAAAAATTAAATTAATATCATGGGATATAATATTCAAATAATAAGCACGTTTATTACAGTTAGCTTATGAGAAAAAATGGTATTCCATTATCATAGACCCGCATCTATAATTTTGACCGGGAAAAGGGGTAAACTCGACGATATTCTTTAGACGTTCCCAAACTGATACTTTTTTTCTGACTGAGAGGGAACACGATTAGATAGAATGTTTAGAGAAGTGATAAGAACAGTGTTTTTTTAATAAATGTGATTTTGTTAAGTTTTCCAACCCTTTTTGAGCTGTTTTCCTACACTCTTCGCATGTTTTTTTTTTATTAATTCGTTTGAAACGCGTACGATTCTCTTGAAAGATAATTATAAAAATTAAGAATTATTAAGAATTTTTTAGTGATAGTTTTATTATTTTTTTTTTTTTAGTAAAGAGAATGTACACGTTTTGGAGCAAATGTGTATTTTAGTAGTGCAAAATACTTTGTAAATTGGTTTTCTATTACGAAAAATATAGTAAGTAAATCGACGGAAAGTAGTTAAAATACACTTTATGCACGAGTTACATACACTACAATTATATAAATAAAACATAATTGAGAAACACCAAAAAATGTATTATAATCTCGAGTAATTATTTTTTTTATGTTATTTGCTGCTTACTAATGTGAATCGCCAAGAAAATAGTAAATATTAACAACATTGACCAGTGATTAACGGGAATATCCAATAGAGGTGATTTAATATATGACTATATAAATTTCATAAATGTATGACCAACGAATTAAATGTGGATATTAAACAAAAAGAAATTGAACATTTTAAAAATAGTTTCAAATCCACATTTTACCAAAAACGAAAAAGTACTTGCTATAGTTAATATCCACGATTCTAATCAATCAAACAACGTACATTATTTACCTTAACTGTTTCAGGTAAGCAACATACGGGTAATCCTCATTACAATAAAAAAAATATACAAAAAGCATTTAAAGAATACATTAAGTTGCAACTTTTATTTTAAAAACAATCTCCAACATTAAAGTCAGTCAAATAAGAAGTATTAAGTATTTTAATTTTTTTTTTTAATAATAAAAAATACCAGAGTCTATTTGTTACTGCTTTTCTAAAGCTATTGAAAGATGTATCCTGAATATCCAAATTTAATGAATTTGCACTTATTTGCATTCTTGTTAGAGGACTAAGTCTGTCAGTTCTATGAAATGAAGACTAAATCATTTTGACGAGTAGGCATATCTTACTAGTACCTACTCTAAATTGAATGGATTCTATAAGTTCAGAACCATGAATGAATCCTGAAATTATTTTATTTAAAATAATAAATCTACTGTGTCCCTTCGAAATTCTAGACATTCAAGATCTATTAAGTTTAATAAAACATTAAAATCCTATTTGCCAATTACTAAATATCTCGGAAAACTTACAATTTTGTTTTTTAATTTGCATAAATTGTTGGTTTTTATGATATTTCTACCTCCTGATGAGGTCAACTCGGGGAAGTGCATACCTTCAATTTCAAAGTTGACTTTAAAATCAAGTTAAAAACTAGAGATTATCGTACTATATAGTTTTTTAAGCATACTAATATTTTTACAACCTTAAGTAATGATAATCCGAAAGTATTTTTACCTGAAAATTTGGATTTATTACAAAAAAAATAAATTGGTCGCAATCTCACAGAAATGCACTTACCCCAGTTTATGGGGCAAGTGCATTTCAGACCTCTTTCTTTCTATTTAGATGCTTATGATGATTATTCGAGGCAAGAGCAAAAAATATGTAAAATTTCAAATCGGTCAGTTTTTGCAGAACTTAATTATCTGTAATATTAAGAAAGATATAGTCAAATTAATATTTTGGTTTTAAATCTTAAGATTTTATTAGAAAAATTATTAAACATAAACCTTTAGAAAAGATTTGGAATACAAAATAACTGTTATACAAACTTTGGTAGATACTTTTAACATAACAAATATTTATTCTACGACTGGCACAGGGTCCTTAAATACATAGCGGTCTTTAGAATCCATCTCAATGTCTGGAACATCTGTATTCATAATCTCATGCATTGGGACGGTGTCTTGATCAGTCTTATGGAACTTGAAAGTCTTCTTCTCTTTATCTACACAGCGTAAATATTTAAGAAAACTCTTCTGAATCATATATTTCTTTTATTGCTCCTAGGTAAATTTTCACAGTTTTTTTGGTAGATTCATACTTGACTAGAACGAAATCTCCTGGTTTTCTTGGCACAACCGAAGCTTCAGAAGGATCTTCTTTATTTTTGGAGTTAGGAACTTGATCAACTGTTTCAAACGAACAAATACCAGTTTCTGCAACTTCCTTAGTTGTTGATTCGTTTGGTTTTAAGAATGGAACCAGATTGTTTTCGGGATCACTAATTTCCAATTCTGTCTCGAGATGGATTGATAGGTCGTCTATTTCTAACTCTGTTTCAGTAGGTATTTCTTCTCCAAAATCTTCATCAGATTCATCAATGCTCATATTAAATGGCAGTTCTTCCTCATCAGAGGATGATGACAATTCAAACTTCTATTTTTTCTTTTGATTCTCTTTTGTCTTCTTTGGTTTTTTATTCTTGGCTTTCTACTCCTTTTTTGTTTTTTGTTGGTTTTCTTTCGTAGCTTTCTTTTGCTTTTCGGCATCCTCCTTGTCTTTCAAAATTTTCATACACTCCTGAGATGTGATGACTTTTGACCCTAAACAAACTTTGGTTTTCTTAGCTGGCGGACCTCTCTGATTATGGGACGAAATAGTTGATAGTAACAATTTTTCGAAAGTATTGAGATAGTTCTGCACCTGCTCTAGGTTGCTTCCCGATGAGGTAGCGTCATGAATTTCGACGGCTTTAACCTGGTCATTTTTGTCTTTTTCAAAACCTGCAACCATATTAGTTTTAGGTGGTAAGAGATGATCAATTTCGGATGCTTCAACTTTGTCCATTTCGGGTGCTGCAACTTGGTCCAGTTCGAGTGCTGCCATTTGATCAGTTTCGAGCTGCAATGATTTCCATCGTTCCAAAGATAGTTGGTCAAAATTTTCTTCAGGAATGATATATTTATTAAACGGAAAGATGCCAGCTTTCCTTAATCCATTTTGAATAATGTCCGTATCGAAGTTTTTCCATAGTTCTATTTTTATCGTCATTGATCGTTTAGAAATTTTCTGACAGCCTTGTTGTCTCAACCTTTTGCAGAGATACTCGTCCCACGATGATTTAATGGACTTGAAAACTGCCAGATCGAGGGGCTAAAGTAAATGGCTTAAAAGAGGAGACAGTAAAATAATTGTCACGTGGTTTTTCCCAGCCAATTCCACTAATTTTAAACCAATGTGAGTTGCATGACCGTCACAGATCCTATGAGATACTAAGGGTATGGTCCGATATTAACCGACTACTTGTAACTAACCAGAAATTTTTGATAGCAGTTACTGAAAAAAACTAATTTATTGGTTACATTTGGACCCGTTTTTTATGTTTTTAATTTATAAAACCCTCGCAAGTTACGCCAGTGTTTAATGGAACTGGGAACTAGGATTCCTAGAATCGGCAATATGAAGGCTGATCACTTCGTCTGTAAAATATCAGAGACTAAATAACAGTTCCTGAAATATATCCCAACCTCTAAAGTTTACCGTGACTTAAAAATAATTCGTTTAGAAGCAGTTTGTGAATTTAGCTGTATGTTACATAGGTTTTTTTTGGAGATAAATTAGTTTTGGATTTTTTGTAACTCCTTTAGTTGTCAACGTATGTGATTACTGATTTGAGTATTATACTAGTGTCGAATCGTACTATCCAAAAACTGAAATAAACAGTATAAAAATTATTTTTCCTCGTTTCTATTTTGTATTTTTGCTACTTTCCCATCATCAAAGTTTTTCATTAACTTTGATTTTTTGTTTTGCTCATTTAGAAAGGAAAAAGTGCGTGCAATTGATGTAAGAAAATAGTTTTAATAATGATTTTAATAATAACACTACTAAAAGTGACTTCTAACGAGAGCAACGATTGTATAAAATGAATTGGAACAGATGTCACGTTGTACATTTATCTTTTCTATAATGTGGGTTTTTAAAAACCGTTTCCCATTTTGCCATGTAAACCTTTCAGTAATATTTTTTTTTTAGTTTAATTAAATATTAATTTCGATTGACAAAAATATAACTGCGTTGGATATATTTTTTAATAAGTTTCGTGGAAAATGGGAAACTAGTTTGCCGGATATAAAATAAAACAACAAGACTATTTCGTGTTACAAAAATACCGTTTTTTTTTTATCGCCATGTTTAGATCGCAGCAGTTACCAATATTTTTTAAAATAAAAATTGCATTTTTTTTAAAACAGAAAAGGCAAACTTAATTTTTTTACGAAATAGTGGGTTAAAAATTTTGATTACTTGAGATTAAATAATTTTAACTTTTAGTAATAATTCTCTAAAATAAAAAGAGATAGTTTCCTTATTGCAAATGGCTTTATCTGTTGAACTTTATATAGGTTGCAGTTTTCGACCTCCTAATTAAAAGCGTCCAAGGGGACAAAGTTTTCATATGACTAGTTTTTGAGATACAGAGTGTTTTTCAAAAATATTTTTAGACATAAACGTTGTTATGTTGGTCATAAATATTAAAAGTAACAGTTTGACCATCAAAATATAATGCCAACATTTTTCAGAAAACTATATAAATCGTAATTTCTTAAAAGGGCATCTGTCAAGAAGAATATGTCTCAAGAAAATTGAAAAACACTATTTTCTAGCGATAAAAAAATAATCTTTCTAATAATTTTGTATTATCAACTGAACTTTATTTGAGACGACTGTTATTTTAGATTTATATTGTATTTTTAGCAAAATTTTGAAAGTTGTTGACCGATGCCCTTTTATCAAATTGAACATTTTCCGAAAATAAAAGTCCTTTGATAATATTTAATTTATTATAATTAAAAAATAATCTGTGAAGGCCCATAAAGAAGGTGTAACAAATGAGGCCGCTAATAGAAAGGAATGTAGCCTTTTATGTGATGATCATAAACAAATTGACACAAGGTAATCAATGCAAAAAATAATTTTGTTTTTCTTTCTTTTTAATTCTAGATTTGTCATAAAAGATACATTCAAGGTATAATAGTAAAATGGCAGTAGCTAACTAACAAAAGAGTAATATAATACAAAAATTTTAATCGCCTCGAGTTTGATTCATATTTCTAATTTTTTTTAGTCGGAAACAAAAATTAAATTATGCAATTCGCTTTTTTAGTAATAAGGTTATACTAATATTACTAATGATAAAAACTATTTAACATTGGTTTTGGCTTTAGAACTGTCATGAATTTTTGTTAAATATGGCAGCTATTCAGAGGATTCAGGAAGTTCTTTTAAGACAGAATTATGTTAATAAAATATTGCAATAAAACAACTGTAATACAATGATTAAGCTGTATCAGTCATTCCAACAAAACAAATTTAGAGTCGGCCTTTTTCACCATATGGTTTATTGTATACAGGGTGTTCGATAAGTACGGTACATAACTTCAGGAACGTATTCTGGAGCTAAAATAAAGGTATTTTTGTCATATACACTATTTCTCAAAAATTCTTCGTTACGCAAATACAGGGTGTGAAAGTTTAAAAAAAAAATACAATTTTATAAATATTTCCAAAACCACTTGAGATATTTTAATTACATTTTTGCAGCTTTTGAGAGTTAGCAACGTTGCGTGTTTTATTGTAAACACAGTGGCTTTCGTTTAACCAGTGGCGTGCGGACAAGGTAATAGCTGAGAAATATGGAAGGAAAAACGTGTTACGCCGCTGTTCTTTTTCAATTATTTACTTTTTTGATTGTTTGATTTGGAATAAAAAAGGTCCCTTGACTTTTTTCATGAATAATTACAGAGTCATTTTTATTTTGTTTATTTAACTACAAATAATCATATAAATAATCACTTATAACAAAGAATCAAAGCAAATGTTGAAAATGGCCAGGCCCTTCTGATAAAACGCACGATTCCAATCGTCTCCTCATTGATTGTCTTACTCTTTCAAAAACTCCTGGAGTATTTCTTATGGTATTAGAACCTTGAATTATTCGATTTCTTAAATCATTTTCATTTAATACAGGTGTCTCATACACGAGTGATTTAAGGTGACCCCATAAATAAAAGTCCAAGGAATTAAATTTACTATCTTATAGGTATAGTACCTACATTAAGAACCTATCTAAAAGATTTATCATTTTATTTTAGATGTTAAATGATTTTTAAATATGCAGTTTTTCTACTTCAATTTAAAAAATTACTCATCCTAAGACAGATATTTTAGATAGTCAAACCACAACTTTTAATATTTATAAATATCTGCCATATTACAACATAAGGGTGATTCTCGCCTAACTGTGATTTTTTATGTCCAGTGTTTTATTTATCGTTTAGCATAAGTTTTCCTCATCAAAAAGTTAATAATATTATAAATTTAGAGGTATTTTACAACCGACATTATGAATTAGATCATAAACCTTCGTAATTTTTTTTAAGCTGCATATAAATATACTCGAAATGTCAGTACCGTGGCATGTCCGATTCTCATTTTTAAAATTAAATATATAAATTTCTATCAAATTCATTTTTTAATATAAAATTTACCTCTTATAACTACAATCTAATGCATACTGCATTGAATTTTATTGCAATTTTATACCAATCTTTGGATTGGTAAAAAAAAATAATCATTTATATGTCAGTACCGTGGAAATAATGTCAGTACCCTGGCATTAAAATTTTTAAATTTTGTCACAGTTTTCGTTGTGTCGTAGCTGTAGTAGAACCACTTTACAGGCTTATTTCTATGCATAAATAGAAAACAAAAACGCGTAAAACATACGTTTTGAAACATTTTTAATTTTAGAAAAATGTAAGTTGTAAAAATCACAGTTAGGCGAGAATCACCCATATACGTATTTTTTAAAATTATGAGTTCTCAAAAACTGGTCGTAGGACACTTTTAATTTATTGGGTCAAAAACTGCAACATATTGTAAACTATGTTAATTCATTTTAAAAGAAATAAATCGGATTTTAATATAGCATCGAATTTAATCGGTGTTAAGAATAATAATACATAAAAAATGAACCGTATCGAATGAATGTCTATGAAAGAATGCCGTGCTAATCACCAAATATTCTTATGTGTCCCAGTTGGACGTATCGTTCTACGAAATATGAGTAGCACTCGTGAATCATGACAGGGTGGTCCTAGCCTAGCGATAAACGAAACATCCGAGTGGTTACAATATATAAAATTCAGCATTCGCTATAAGGAAACTGCAGGGCCCTTCCTACGCATTGAGATCTACAGGATTTATAATTTTGCAGGGTTAATTTGAAAATGGCGATAAGAAGTAAAGTGGATAAACTGAACGACTAATTGTACATATCTAGACTGACTTTGTGTATTTTGTTGTATAATAGAAATAATAAGTAAAAATTCATTTTGATTGTGCAAAAATTTTTATAAATACCATGGTAGGTAGTGTTTACCATTTTTTGTATTGAAACTCCCCCATTTAAAATTAGGAATCGATTCAAAGAAGACGCCAAAACTTCTTAATCGTACATGTTATATTATTATAATTATTACTTTAATTTTAATTGTATAAAATTTTCATTCCTCAGTAGATTTTTGCATTTATCAAATACAGGGTGTCCCAATGAAAAGTAGCCCGTTTCCATTTGATAAAATTTAATTACGGTGAATTTAAAAGAGATTTTTAAAAAATACCCTGTATAGGTAATACATAATTTCTGTGTCACTGAAGCAAAACTTATAGCAAAATAACACATATCAACAAAAACCACACGTTTCTACGATTTGTTTAAAAGTTATAAGCTCTGGAAATGGGCTACTTTTCATTGGGACACCTTGTATATACTTTACATTTAATTATTACATCAATTTGTACAGGAAATTCCATCGAAAGCGATAGTTTTTAGATTGTTTTCATTGATTCGTAAACTCATAGTCTGACCATTTCTGTTATAAAATTAGAGTGTCAAAAATTATTATTATTATTATTTATTATTTATTTATGTAGTAGTTTACATTTATATTAAACAGTAATATAATTAATTATAAGAACAAGAGAAAAATAAATCACTCAATTAATTACTTAATTCCTAAATTGAGGTCACCCTCTAAATAATATTTAAAATGAAAACTTCTACTCTAGTGCACGATTGTACTTAAAGTACTGTGTGTGCACTCTTTTTCTTATACATGTATCTTTGAGGTTTTTTATTTTTTTATTTTTTTTTTTTAATAACAAAAAATATATTCTTATTTAATCTAAGTATAACAGATAAAATAATTGTACGCTCATGGTACTCTTTAAATGACAAATAATGTACAAAAATCGTTTTTTTTGCAAACATTTTTGTGTTGCTGAAAAAAAAAATCTGGTGACTGGTAGAACAAGTTTTAAAGATATTTGTGTTAGTCTCTGCCATCCATATTCATCTTTCAATCCCTTCTATATGTTAAAACAATTTTGAAAAAGCATTTTGCTGAGGAAATTTTTTAGATTGTTTAAATTCATTTACTTAATATTTATAATTAAATTAATTGTACCCTAAAATTTCTAAAAAAAGTACTAAATTGGTCGAGTTTAGAGAACTGCAGTGTCTATTCTATTGAGATGTAAAATCTAAAAATTATGGCTCGAAAGTAACTGTTTTATAAAATAAATTACAAAGGCTATCTTTGAATTGATAATTTAATAATAAAAAAAATACTGAGTGTTTAGTAGAAAAACTACTATAAATTTATAAAGCTTCTATGTAACTTTTTGAGTTTATAGATTAAATAAAATATAATTTTTGTGAATAATTTTAACGCCACTGCGGCCAACCGAAACCGAAATATAGGGTGTGTTCGGTTTAATTTGTAAAAGCTTTTTATTTTTTTTTTGTTAAAAGATACAAATTTCAAAAAAAAACCTGTGGCAATTATCCTAATAATACTGAAAGAATGATACTTATAGTAGTAATATTGAAGTTACCTACCTATATATATATATATATAAATAAACTGCCTTACCTTAAAATCATCGACACACCCTGTATGAATTATTTTAGACTGTATATGAAACCATTTGTGTTTTGAAGCGAATATCTTATTATGTTTATAATTTTAAGCCATCTTGTGAAAAATGAAAAAAATATTAGTTATCGTTAGTTTGTAAAGAAAAAATTATTTATTTTCGAACAAATAATAAATTGTCGATCGATCATCATAGGAATGTTTGTATTTAAATGCTCTTTGTTACACGATTTTCAATATTATTTTTGTTTTATGAAGTTGCTCATGGATGTAAAACATTACGAAAAAAGTTATCTCAAACGCCATGAGAATAATTTGTGTACACACGGATCGAGTTTTAACACATCAACTCCATGTAACGTAAAATTATTCTTGAAAATGACAGTCATTTTTTTTTATAATCATGTATTTCGCTTTTACAATTATCAAATAATCAAGATATATGAATGGAGAGCATAATAGTTTGGAACAAATATAGATCAAATAAAAGTCGACTGATATCAACAATCATAATTCTGGCTCTAAAAGCAATTTATTGAGGATAGAACACTTCAGGGTTTTCATTGTGCCATCTCCTGTATTTGCTTTTTGTAAATACCCGATATTTAAGCTAAAAACTTTTGACATTTGACAATATTAAACTTAAATTGTGTCCTTTTACTCAACTGTTGTAGGGATCAGTACAGACAGTGTCATCCTTTTTACTTTCCTTTTTCCGGTAAGGAAAGTATAGGTATCCTAATTTTTTTCGACCTCGTGTTTTCAACGGATCTTTACATTTTAGAATCCCTTGAATCCGTTTTAACTATTTTGGTTATGATGTCTGTGCGTCTCTGTATCCACACTAACTCAAAAAACGGTTAAAGAGAAAATCACCAATTTTTGAACTTAAGCTTTCAATTTTTATATCTTGGGAGGTAATTTTTATAATTTAGAGTATGTTTCTATTATTTATGATTATAAGAGAAAATTCTTTCAATAAGAGTTATTTATAATGTCATTTTCTATATTTTTTTCTCTAAAATAGACCGTAATGGAAAAATTTTAAGAAAAGTAGAAAATTTGAATTTTTTAGTATTTTCGTTGTCATTAAAGATATGAAATAATTTTTTATCTTTAATTCATATTCTAAATACTTTTTGATAACTTTACAAGAAAGTCATGTCAATCTATCAAAAAATTAGGTAGTTAAGCAGCCCCGAAATGAGCGCTCTGTCCTTTTTTTACATGTAAATCATCACAAAATCTAAGGTTCGACCTGTCCATTTTTGATAACAAAATTCCAGTGGTGTACTTTTATAATTTGTCCCTCTTTATTATTTCATTAATGCCCCTTTTAATTAATAGTATTAGGAAAATCGCCCCTCCCTCTTTTATATTAAATTAATATTTATGTTAAAATATATGAAAATCATTTTTTTTTCTGATACAAACTGATTAGTTTTATTTTAACATGACTACATGTTATTTATTACACAGTATGGTAATAATAGTTTGTATGAAACAAAAATTATCTAAAATAATTACGTGATTTTGGTATCCTAATGTTTTAATAATAAAAATTACACTTTATAAAAAAGGAGTGCAATTTTAAATTAAAAATTGTCCTAGTACGTTACTAGAATTTTGGTATTGAAAAGACCGTCTGAACTTATATTTTCTTTTGGAGATTTACATGTAACTCAAAACATTTGTAAATTTGTCGAAATATTTCGGAAATAATAAAGTAAATAAAGCAAAATGACACATATTAAGCAATAATCATTCTATTCATCAAGTTTTAAAAAGAATACGAGTAATGTGTACGTTTTAAGAATGTTTTCTGAAAATAGTTATTTACATGGCGTTTGTATATTATCAGAATGAATTAACAATACAATTGTTTCTTCGTGCGTTATCATTTTCGAAAATAAAGCTGTATAAAATTATTTTATCGTTATGTAAAATTCATGGTAATGTTTTTTAATTGAAAATAAGGTAACCGATTTTTTTGTATATATTAAATTACTTGGTCTTAATGTTGTGTATATATTTAAATAATAAAAAAAAACAACCTCAAAATAGTGCTTTACTTTATAAGATCAAAGAAATGTTTATCGGAAAATTATAAAACTTAGCAGCTAAGTACTTAGCAAGAAATGACCTACAACAAATGTGAGATTTTTTTGTTAAAATTGTGTTAAAATGCTGAAAATCAAATTTGATAAATGGTTTTGTTTATCGGTTATTATTCAAAAAGAAAAAAACCAGCATTTGGATTTTTATTTTGCACTATGTATGTTAATTATGCAAATAAAAATCACTAAAACTTAATTGTCTATTATTTTTATCCTAATTTTAAAGTTTGAGTTCAAAAGATTATCAAATAGTGGTAGTTAGCCTTAATTTTCTTCTTCTGACTATAAACTGAGGTCTTTCTTGAATTAATACCATATTGTCATGCTTCGTATAAATTCATATTTTTCATAATTTTAATTAATTATTTATAACACCCTGTACAAAAAACTTTGTTTAAGTATGTCGACAATTTGTTTTGAATCGCAATCATGTGCTAAGTTGATTATTTAATAATTATTAAACATTAGTTTTGATAACAATAAACTATGAAAAAGTTATAAAGGTAATGTCGGGGGGATGCGCAGGGCTTTTTCCACAGAGAAAGATCCTCCCCATAGGAGGCCTCCCTTGTAGGATATTCCCAGTAGCAGCTCCAGCTCATGATCTTCATAGTTTAAATAAAAAGTCTTTCTTTTGTATTTTAAATAGCAGTTTTAATAGTCAGGCAAGAGTTGTGACATGTGCCCCAAATATTAGTGGAGTTGGTAAGTTTACATTTTTGTGTACTTGTTATTTACATTGAGTCCATATTTGTGTGTCAAACTGTGACCCATTTTGTATCCTTATTTTAATTATAATATTATATTTGTTTTGAGAAAATATCGTGTTTCCTTCAGCCTTTTTGCAGAGACGTGTTAGGTTCTAACATCAAGAGATACAGTTAGGGGCTACGAAGCCAAGGCTAAGGCAATATAGAATTTTTTCTCCGATTTCAATGAAAATTTGGCTACGCATCAAAGAGAACAATGAAAATTAAGGAGTGGATTCAGTTGCTTCTTATTGACAAGGGTTTTATTTTTTTTTTAAATTTCCTCAGTTATTAATAATCGAATCATTCTCTAAACTTGCTCAAAACGTAGAACAGATACCCTGTTCCCCTCTAACAAGACTAATTAAAAAGTTGGAGCTCATTTCTTAGAAAGTATCCAACATAGAGAGACGCAGACGCCAGCAAGACATTTTAAATCGTTTACTGTAACGTAGTGCCGAAT